AGTAAAAATAAAAATAAAACAATTAGCAGGGGTGGGGGTGGGGGGGCTGCAGCTTCTGATTTGGACTCCTTTACTCCTGAGGTTAGAGACGCCGATGGCTGCCTGCCAATAGCAGCGGCAGTATGAGGCTGTGGGACGGCTGACAGCGATGACTGATCAAAGGGCCCAGACTTCCTGCGGAGGATGAGGAGAGCCCACCTAACAGGATTTATTTCTTTTCTAGATCCTAACAACATGAGAAGGATGCTAAAGATCTGCTGCTTTTTTTTTTCCACATTAAAATAGTTCTATTTCATTGATTCTACTTCTAGAAATAGAATAAAGACAAACAGAGGAACTCTATTTACACTGATTCTATTTTTCTAGATTTCCACACGGTTCATAAGTAAATTATTTAAAACATTAATGTATGTAAATAATGTTGGAATCTGTTTATTTGGATACTATTGTATTCCAGATTAAATAGAGTTATATTGTATTTTATAATTGTTAAAAGTGATTTTATATCTTAGTGCTTTAAAACAGACACAAGGAGCTATTTAAATAGTCAGACAGTAAAATATAGGATGATGATAAAAGGTTGTTTTATATTTAATCCTTTACTATTAAAAACACACTAATATAATAGAAACATGAAATAATGGAAGGAAACAGATGCTGCTGCAGGGCAGCCTGAGGGGAAGCAGCTGCATGATGGAAGAAACTGAAACTATTGATTATTCTGCAGATTCATTAATCTGTTGATTATTTTTCCAATGAATCGATTAATAATCAGATCAGCCAAAGGCTCCTTAAAGATTTTTTATGAAATGAAACAGAAACGTTTCTTCTGGAGGAGATCTGGATGGAGAATATTCACAGAAAATAACTTTTTATCTTAAATGCAAAATGTTTGCATATTTTTTACATAATTCCTGCTCTAAGTGGGTCGCTCTATTGGCTAAAGGCACATTAGTGGCCCTAAACTCCAGTTAACCATTAATCAATTACTAAATTAGACGATTATTTAAATAATCG